CTCGCAACTCCGCTCTGCACGACGCGAAGTGCCTGCTCGAACCTCCACATGCTTTAGCCGCGGCATTTGTCTCGTGTTCGTACCTAGCAGGCAGCCATGCTTTCGCCGGCTGCTCGCACTGCTTCCTTTGATGCTGCAGACGGTTCTCGGCTTGAAGAAACTTTAGTCTGCGTTGCGTCGCACCCGATATCGCCTCATTTTGAGGCCTTGTATACTGCTTCTTGAAATGCTCATTTCTTTCGTTCATTTTTGCCGAATGCCTAGCTTCGGCTTCTGCGATTTGGTTGTGATAGAACATTGAAATGGTAGCAACCTCGTTGGGTGAATACTGAAGTTGAGAAAACACAGTCGGTGACCTTGCTAGAGGTGCGTTGGCATGGGATGGAGAATTCCATTCCCAAATTGCACCTGCCATTCTTCGTCAGGGATCATCAGGTCCCAAAATAGCGAGCGACTGTTCAGTCAAAGGCACGACTGCTTCACCCTCCCGGGGAGCGATGGCCAACTGATCCGTGCTATCTTCCTGAACGGACATAGCGCGAAGTGAAGGCGCTTCCTCCGTTAACGGACCAACTCGAGCGAGGTATGTTCATGCCTGCAGGACTTACGGAAGGGGCTTCCATTGCAAACTTGAACAACTAAAGTCAGACCTACGGCTGATAACCCATGTTTATAAGCAGAACAGCCAGAACACACGTGCACATTTTACTTGAGCCAGATGACAGGTCATAGGTAGGGAAGAGCTACATCTTCAGCCGAGAACAATTGAAACTCCGCTTGGGTTCAAGTAGGGGATACTGGGCTTGAGGCAGAGGTTTCGAGTTCTAGGATGCGGTTGAGAGATGAATATTGCTTTCTTGCACCGTTGAGGTTGCACTGTCTTCTGTCTTGTGACATGGTTCTCATGGCGGACGGTGCCGCGAACCCGGTGCCACAGCGACGTGTATCATTGAGGCAGTTGCAACGGCTGCTTTGGCCACGGATCACACCTGTCAAGGGCATGCCCTGCTGCTGGAAGAACCCTTCTCCAGAATTGTCTGCCTCCAATCGATCGGCTCTGTTTTCAAGCGCTTGTAGATATTCCTGGGTAGAAGAGCTCAAACACACTCTCCAAAAGTGTTGAGGCTTGAAGTTTGGCCGGTATCAGAGGGATGCTGCGTGGCTTTCCGAGAAGGGTGCATAGTCCATCCACGGCTCTTCGGTGACTGCTGGAGCACGGACATTTCCTGTCCCAGGGAGAATTAAAGATGTAAAATGAGCCGTCCTGCTTTTAGGACCTGCGCGGGCCTCTTGAAAGACCGAGTTATCGAAGGGCATTTTTCCCGCCATCAAGAGGTACAGGATGATCCCTGCGGCTCTGCGACTGCGACCCCTACATTCCAAAAAAAAGTGCATTCGGTCCGCCTATGCTGTAGAGGTCGCTAGCCGGGGAGAAGTAGCCGAGGAAGGCTTCGGGCCTGCGACAGCGCAGGGTGTCTTCTGTCTTGGAGGTTTGGACTCTTAAACTTACGATACCTAGACACCGAAGACTATTAAGGCCACTGGGGCAGCTTCGTCTGACAGCTGCCTGTATGATCTAATGACTGGGGCTGCGACGCGCTGAAATACACGGTGCCACAGAAGTATTCACAGGATCTGGGAGTCTTCGCAGATGCTTTGAAATCCTTAGAACAGGGTAGACTACGTCATGAATGAGTCCTACGTGGTGAAGCAAGAGGCATGCGATTCAAACAGTCGGGGCAAGACGCCCATGCGGATCAAAATGTACTTTACTAAACATATGCCTGCGTGACGACGTGGTTGAGCGCAGCGCCGGATCGGCATGGTCAAAGTCGATGATCGCGACTTGACGAGACTTGCCTGTTGGACTCAGCTCGTCGTCGCCTCGGCATGCCACTAGTTAGGTGCTCTTCCGAGCACTTCTTGACAAGCATGCATAGCTTCCAACACTTTTACGCTCAAAGCTTTTGCGAGAATTCTCACAGATACCTCTTGGGCCCAGGCATAGTCGCATGACCAGGTTGTCCGGTTTAAGATCACGGTGGATCATACCCTGCTCGTGAACGTGTCCGATCGCCTTCGTATCACATCCAGCGATCAGCTGATAGGCATACAGAGATGCAGTTCGCGTGCCTCAAGGATGCCGCGCATCAACCGGCGAACTTCCGCTGGTGGCATCACTCCGTCCTTCAGAGATCGTACGCTGCAGCAGTTCCTAGAAGGTCCCTCATGTCATCCTCTGCGCCTGCGAGCCCACAGGTGATTGCATGCCACTGCTGGTATACTCCAGCCTCAAACTCTGTCAGCAATCCGCCAAAAAAGGAACCTCCAGTGGCCTCGACAAGAAATTGTTTATTGGTGGCCTCAGCATGAAAACACAAATTGGAGGGGCCTGCTCCATCACAATGTAATAGAACTGGCTGTCTTCCAGGACCTCTTGGAGGGGAAGAACCTTCGAGCCACGAAAGGCATTCGGGCCACAGGAGCGAGATGCAAGTCGTCCAAGGTCTGCACACCAGCGTGTTCCGGGAGGTTCAAGAGGCTGAACTCAGTACATCCAACACGTGGGGGAACGACATGGAATGTACACATCATTGAGTCGCTGACTAGCGATTTGCGAAACTGCTCTTCCATGGAAGCTTCACGCAAAGACCTCATCATGCGGACACGATTCTGTTTGGCGACGGAACCTCATCGAAGACAAACTGCAATCCATCCTACCGTGCACCAACTGCCAAATACCTAACCCGAAATCCAGAAATTCAAGCTGCCCGACTGTTGCCCATCGACATCCGCCCCTCCCGCAACATTACACTCACATTCGCAGCACCAACACATCGATTCTCAGCAAAGGGCTTCTTTGAACGCATCTTCATGACCTGGGCTGCGAACGGCTGCAAGAAACACACTGGCGTCATGCCTGCATGCCTTCGTGTGAACTCCTGCGGCCTTTCTACACTCACACATGTCATGTCCCGAAGCTTTCCGAACCTGCCAAGGCCAAAGCATATGTCCGAAAAGGAACATCTGAATGAATTGACTTCGGCTCGCAGACCTGCAAAATGACAGAGTCGAAGATTCGAATCGCAAAGGGAAACGCGATGCGCCGGCACTGAGGACGGTGCCACGACTTTGCCACCGTCTCCCTCCTCCTGCAACACCTGCACAGCCGTGAAATGGGATCCACCAACTTCGGGTGGAACCTGAAAGCTGTGACGTGACCAACCTCGTTCCAAAGATAGAGGTCGAAGATCTTTTCCTGAACCACTGCACTGAACAAGCAAGATACACACGCCCCGCTGCCACGAGAGAAAATAGTGATGCTGAGGCAGCTGCCTTTTCGTCCATGGCGCGAATTTGCTTCTCCTGAAGCGCACAGACGTCATAGCAAGCTCACTGCGACCAAACATGAAAGCCATCACATCGATAAATCCCTCATAAACGCAAGTTCTCTTGGGGACTGACTGGATGAAAGGACGGCAACCTTACCACACAGCCAACGGCTTATCGTCTGGAGGGTTTAAAGCACTGGGAACGAAACGGTGATGCAGTCGTGGACGTTGGAGAGTCGAAGCCGCGCCTCACAAAGCCGGGCAAGCAAGCCCCCAATGGCGTTCACTCTCCTGGCCCGAGTTCCCTTCCGTTGCCCCGTTACGTTAAGCCTTTAAGCTCATGCGCTCTAGCATGCTCTAGCCTGCACAAAACGTGTTCCTGCTTCGTCCGGCCTTGTGCCACCCAATGACGGGGGGCTTGTCCCTTGTCTTTGCAGTAACCTGCAGGCAACCAGGCAGATTGCACTTCCAAGACTCACAGCCGGTTGCAGGGCGAGGAGCCAGGCCTGGACTTGAACTCGTTGGGCAATAACAAAGGTCTCTCCCTGGACCGAGACGCACTGACGCCCCAGCCGTTCTGCATCATCCTTCTGCATCGCAGCTCAGTAAGGGCGGGACTGTGCCTCTGAGTCCCGGCCTAGGTCGAAGTTCACTGCACCGGCTACCGGCAACCGCCACAACCGCCTCCGAGGCTTCCACGTGCTTTCGTCTCTTTCGTCTGCCCCTTTGACAACACCTCCATCTCCAGCCGTGCAAGCCATGTAAGCTTCAGAAGAGCGCCGTGCTCTCGCAGCTGAGCCATGCACGAGGCCGGCAGCTGACAAAGGACTCCGACCCGCCTCGGACCGAACTCCGGTTGAGCTGTGCGGGTTTGCATGTGCCGCTTTCTGCCTCCGGACTTGGCGGCTGGTTGCGAGGGCTGCCGCGGCTCTCCATGCCAGGCAACTTGAGACTGCTCTGCATGCACTTGGCCTCGTTTCTCAAGGCGGGACACTCATGTAGCAGAATAAACAACAGCTTAGTCTGAGGCGAGCATCAGGGCTACCTTGGCATCGTCAAAGGATCGGCTCAATGGAATCCATGGAACACGGAAAATGCATGGAATCATTGTCAACATTGTGGTACTGTAGCTAAGCTTGTCACTGACTTCTGGCTCTTGTCGCCATCGGCTGATCTCTCTGACCGTGCATCTGGCAGACCTCAAGGCTACATTGATATGGTAAACAAAATAAATTGCTGCTGCTGTGGTCCTACGACTACCACTTCTAACCCTGCGGCTGCTGCCGCCACTTCCGCTACCACTACCAATACTGCTACTCTTGCATGCTTGCTTGCTTGCCTGCTTGCTTGGATTGCTCGCTCGCCTGGGACCTTCCCACTTCCATGCCCGTGCGCCGCTGCAGTGTCAACGCCTGGTAACTTCGGGCCTGTGGTGCGGCCCCAACGAGCTTGCCTTTACAACAACGGCATATTACTCGTCAAAACATGATACAGTAACTACCAATTGTTGGAGGCTCTCACAGATTGCGAATTTGCACGGCTGGGGATGCAACTGGATTTTGAAGATCTCCTCTCCAGGGTGGCCTTGTATGCACCCGAAGTCATGGCAAATTATGCCGAGGAGCTCAGAGCACAGACTTCCGCGAGCGCTCTACTCCAGCAGGCTCGGAAATGTGCATCGCGGTTTTGGGGGCCGAGCTGTGGAAGCCGTCTGCGGTTTGGTTGTTGAGTCGCAGGTGCTGATGGAGCTCACATGCCTTGTCCTGCCACAACGGTTTGCATCAAGGATTAAGCACTGCAGGCCACAGCAACCGAGCCGAAACATGTGCGCAATCTCGCCCCCACGGTCACTGTGGCACTTTGCGTACCATCGCCAGTTGAAACAAAGAAACCTGTCAGTCTCAGATGCTGGGCGGCATCCTGGAAAGAATCAATCAACTGAGATCCGGGCCCAAGTCCTTTGCCTTTGGGGAGCTAAGACTCCGGTTTGTCTTGGGACTAGACTCCTGGGCTGACAGGTACAACAAGTTCAGAAATCTCGAGGGCCTGGGCATCCGGCGAAGGCAAAGGTCGCAGCCATGCCCCGCCCTGACAGCAAGGAAGCGTTCGGCCCAGACCTGGCCATGTATGCCCTGCGCCTTTTGGCGAGCAGGAAGGGGAGGATCGACCCTGCCACATTTCCCAAGGCATGCAAGCTGCAACTTCACCAAAGTTACAAGTACCTGTATCGAGTGCTTAGCTTGAGTCTGACAGTTCAAGAGCGTGTGAGACGCCTCCTCGTGATGGCGTGGTCGCAGCGGCCTCGGCAAGTTCAAGCGAAAGCAACATGGGGAGCTGCTAAACTAAAACAAGGCAGACAAAGACAACTCTCTACTACAGTAAAAGGGGACTGTGGCATCGGCAATCTGGCCAATGCTGGGCATCCCGAAAAACTACTCTTTCGCCTGCAGAAGGAAGCAGTGGAGAGGGCAGACGGGTGTTCTAATTCATCTGGCGGAATCGTTGTAACTATTGCTAAACGGAGCCGATGCCTCAGTGTCATGGCCATCAGCACAAGCGTTGCATGTCTTTGCTAGCTGCCAACACAGCACGAAATACGATTGCTAGAGCAGATGTTGAACAAACTGATGCGGCTCTGCTAAGAAATGCTCTTCTTTGTTCTTCTGTCCACACCTTCTGGCCCTTTGTGACCCCTCGCAGTTAATTTGAGCAGCGCGAGAAGAAGAAGCATTCCCAGTCAGTTTCAGGCCAGATCTACTAGCGGCTATTGCTAGCGCCCTTGCCCGAGTGCGACAAAGTTTGCATGCAGATGGATGCAGACATGAGAAGATGAATGGAGAATGATGGAGGTGGAGGGCATGAGAGTAACCTCTCGAGTGTTGGGGAGAACACGCTGGAGCCTTGCCATTTGTCAACACTCCATCTGAAATTGCACACTGTTGAGATTGTTGTCTTTTCCAGGCTCGTGACGAGGGTTCTGTTGCAAGCGTCGGGCTCAGCAAGCGTGTCCATTAGGAGCTGCAGCTGATCCCACGAAGCTTTACACGGCTTTTCGACAAGGCTTCTATGCCGCTTTCTGTCTTCAGAACCACTCGAAGGAGGCGCGGAGCTCCAGGAGCATGCCGTCAGCGTCAGGGAAGTGAGCATCTGATGGCGCCTCGAGCAGGCGGCCGATGGGATGCCCGGACCACTCCTCGAGGTCCAGAAAGGGGATCTCCAGCTTCCCAAGGACGTAGTCCTGAAACCATCCCTCCCGGAAGATGCTCACCTCAGCCGATTAAAAAGGCAGCTGCGTTCCACTCTCCCTTAAGTGCGGACGTCTTCACAGCCGAGATGCCCCCAGCACCGTGTCAACCCTGTGCACTTGGTAGCTGAAGCTGCAGTCCCAGACAGGGTTCTCCCCTGGAACTTTGGGAGACTGAAAGCTCTGCTCTCCGACCCGCCTAAGCTCGAGGATGGTAGCGGCTACCGGGTAGCGTGCTCAGGCTCGCCAAACCAAGTGCAACTGAGCTGCACTTCTGCGAAGTTGAAGCCAGAGAGGAAATACCTCAGTCTCGAACTACAGAATCGAACTGGCGAAACGATGCAAGTGACGATCAGGAGCATGTGCGTCATAGCGTCTCTGGGGTGGGAAGATCACGTGCACGTAGCAGCTGGACTTTGAGCGTGCCAATAGGGGCCGCTGGCTGCTCCACATCCTCCTGTCCGGCAGGAGCGACGACACCAGCGGAACATGTCGCAGGAGAGGCCTGTCTGCCCAGTAAGCTCTTGGAGAGAACACACGTGTTCGCGAAGATGCCCGCGACGGGCAGCTCGTTCGAGGAGGAGCGCGTGAGGATCCTCGGTCGTTTCACTTGGTAGTTTGATTGCATGCCCAAGCCTCTGCTCCAGGTGCAGCTCGAGCACTGGCTGTTGCTGTTGCACTTGGCCTCGAAGGCCAACCTTGGAAGATGCGGACTCGCGCGAGTCCGGGCATAGGGCGGAGGCCGAGAGCCACCAAGGGGCTGCTTTGCCTGAAGCATCGCCTCCAAGCGCTGCTTCTCCATCTCCGCCCTGCGGACCCTCTCTTCCTCCTCCTTCTCGATCAAGGCCTGCGCAAGGGAGCGAGAGCTCTTCACTCGCAGACTCGTAGGTCCTAGGTCATTAAACAAGAACAGGGCGCCGGGCCATCTGCGCCCGCCGCTCCTCCTCCTGCTTCTTGCGGCGCTCCTCCTCCTCGGAAAGTCACAAATCACACCTTTTTCTACCGGCTCAGCTGAGTGCGGTCTCGGCCCCTCCGTCTCCTTCTTCAGCTCCTCCTCCTCTCTCCTTGTGCGCTGGTGGACGGACTCCCCCTGGCGAGTGTAGGACCGCATCAGCTTCTGATGGCAGACCTCCAAGAACTTGAAGGTCTTCTCGGCCTGGCGCCGAAGACAAGAAGCGAAGCCGAGGCTGTTTCCTATTCACAGAACTCCCTTGCAGCTCCGCGTACCCTCCCTTTGGCCTCAGGATGTCCGTTCTTGTCGGGGTGGAAAAGCAGTCGCTGTCGGTTCAGCTTTCCTTTCAAAGTCTGCATCACCGGATCCGACGGATCCATGGATCTGCTACTTGTCGGTGCAGGCATATCGAAGAAGGCCCACATCTCGTCCAGGTTAATCCTCACACTTACAGTGTGAGACAAACCCCACAAAGCCTGGTGCTGTCCGGGCCGCCCTCTTTGCCTCTTTTTGCCATCAAGCCACGGGTCCGTGCGCTCCACGTACGACCGCAGGGAGATAATCTTCTCCGCGGCCTTTTGGGCCTTGCAGTCACGAAGCGGCCGTCGCACCGATGTGGATCAGGACAGCAGGAAGCCTGCCTGTTCTGGGCTCATGCGTGAACCCACCAGCTCCTTCGCCTGGCTCCTGGTCAGTGGCCACATGATGCACAGCATCCGAAGGTATCGCCCCGTGGCCCCCTGGCCCTGTCCTCGGGCTGAGCGGCTTTGGCTTCGGCTTCGGCTTCGGCTTTGGTGCTGGGGTCGCCGGGGGCACCGGCGCGGCCACGCCAGGGGCTTTGCCTCAAGCAGATTACAGCAGGCGAAGGGAGAGCTGCAATTCGCTGGTTCGATGCAGGCTTGGCACCTGTCGGCTCAGGTTTGGCCGGCTCCTTCTCCGAGGCCCCTCTTGGGCAAATCAAGGCTGGGAGCACGGTGAGGATCCCGATCCTGTGCAAGCTCAAGGTATATGCCATCCAGATACCAAGAAGGTGCAATTGCCTTTTTCCTTGCTGCGCATGCTGCACAAGTCGAGATGCCGATGAAGCTGGATCGAGCACACTAGTGCTCAAGACATGCTGCAGACGAGAGTCAGAAGCGCCAAGAAGTAGGCGGAAAGGTCCAAACCAGCAACATCGTTCCACACCTGCAGGTACAAGCTACAAGCAATGCCGCAGAATTATGAAGCACAGAGGACAGGCTTGGTCTTCGTGGCTGTATCCTCAGTGCTTGGCTAGCAGGGCACCTCCTCAACGGATCCCAGGTGCCATGCATCCTCTGTAGAACCCAGGCTGAAAAGGATTCCTGCTCAAGCTCGGCTTCAGTGAAAGTTGGCTCTCCTACATGCTATGTCCATGAGCGGTGTCGGAGCCTATCAGGCACACTACCAGCAGGAGGATTGCGCCGGAGGCCAGTCGTAGGCAACACTCCACGCCACACTGCGCCATTCTCCTGTGGATCACTTCGTCAACGATGTTCCGGGTGACTTCTAAACCCTAAGCGCCTCGGTCGATGGGGAAATCTGGGTGCATCGAGGGCACGACGCGCAAGCACATGCTGGGAGGTGCTGATGCTGAGGCAATGCTTTAAATCCTTTCATAAGGCTGTTTATACTCGGGTCTTTTGAATGTCGTGATGCAGTGCGGCTCGAACTTCGATTCGAGACATCTCAGCATGTATGAGTCAAGCCCGTGACCTCTGCACTCAGAACAGCATCAGGGAGCGCATACGCCTGACCTTTTTCAAGCGCAAGGACCTGAAGCCTGGCTGCTTCAGAAGTTCTCGTCTGACTAAGCATGAAAGGAGTGAAACCCATAAGAGCCTGCGGGTAACTGGTTGTCACTGCCACTGGAGCCACTAGTTTCATACATTGAAATCCACGTGGTGCTGACTTCGTGGCACTGAACGACCTCTCTTTGGCAGGCCTCTCATTGGCACACCCTCAGAAGGGCATGCTATGGTACTGGGCACCTGCAAGGCACGGATGCTTGCAGAATGACAATGGACCACTTTGACATAAACTGTCCAGACACAGCAGAGGTGAGGCACTGGCAAAGGCCCCATTCACATGTCAGCAGAGGACGTCTGGCTGGACAGGTCCTGGGAAAACTGAAGTGCATGAGTGTCGAGACAGCTCATGTTGGACTTGCAGTGTCCTCCAGAGGCGTGTCAGACCTCGGCCAGGAGAGCAGAGGTCATGCAGTCGATACCCACGCAGCTGAACCATGGACACAAAGCCTGCATTGGAAAGACGTGAACAAACATCTGTACATCTACGAATCTCAACCAGTTCCAACATGTCGGATCTTGCGATTAGATGACCAGGCCGTTCTGCATGACTGTAGGACACTGAGATGCCTGCGATGTTGTGCCCAAGCTCAGGGCTCTGCGCGCCTCTCCCAAGCTTCATCCCTCTTAGCGACTACTTCCCCCGGCACTACAAGACGCACCAGTTGCTTCTATTTGCTTCTCAACCTTGCAAAATCTGTCCTTCCCGTGATTCTGTTACGTCATGTATTCTCCTCACTCTCACAACTTCGGCCAAGCTTCCGGAGCAGGCGCAGCAGCCCCCTGCGCCTCAAATAAGCGTGCAACAAACACCCAGCATGTCAGGACAAGCAGTAGATAAGAGCCTGCTGCAAGAAGGCAGCACTTTGTGTGAGGTACGTCTGCATGGCGCCGTTCTCCTGCCGTAAACGCTGGAGCCTCGGAGGCAAAGCCATGGGAATTGATGAGGTGTAACGAAACAAGGTCGGGAACGGAGAACTGACTTGGTACCTCCATGTAGCAGTTGCCATGGCATGCGCACGTAGCATCTTCTTAGTACAAACTCAGATTTTGCGAGTCTATGAGGGCTGGAGAGTGATCGCTCACTCGCTCGCTAGCAGAATTTGTACATGATATGCCACATGGCATAGACAATCCTCTTTGCACCCTCCGCTGTGACGCATGCCACCAGGACTCGTAGCAATCTTTGCATGTTTCTCTCTTGCTGAAGGGCACCCTCGGTCGAGTTGCGTTTGCCAAGTCTGATGGGTTCGGCGGAGTGCCGACAAGAACTGAGGACTCGAATCTTGTCTGACCAGACGACCCGTGCCGATCTTGCTGCTTTCCCGCAGTACGTGAAGAGCTTCCCGCATTCCTTTCTGATGGGCGAGTACGGGTTAAGGGCTTGGCTGCGACCGAACTTCGAACCCAAAGCCACCTGCAGCCACAGCACACTATGTGAATCCACGAACTGGATGTCCAATGCGGCAGGCCTGTCTGCCGACCACCTGCCCTGCAGGGAGTTGCCTCAGGCTCATGAGCATGATTGTTATTGCCGGCTGCTTGTGCCCGAACATTCGCCCGACACTTGTGCTTGTAAGAGTCGTGCAGGAAGTCTCTTCTTGGAGAGGGGTCCTGCTATGCCAGCCTCTCCAGAGGCAGGCTTGTGAGTCGCAGCGTGAGCCGATCAATCGAAAACTTGTTTGTGGAGCGTGCAAACTTTAAATTCAAAAATAGCAAGGGTGTCTAAATCATCGCCGTTGCCGCCTTCAGCATCTCCGGCTCGCCTTGGCTCATCAATCAAAACAGGAAGATGCTCGACACTGGATTAGAGAGGAAGACAGCAGTGCCACCATGATCATGCCAGAGTTCAAGTCATATCTTACCAGGACAGATACACTGCAAGATCAGACCCCAATCCATTTCTGAGCTTCCGACGCCGACCTGCCCTCACTGGATCAGGGAGCGCCTACAGCATGTCTCCCGAACTGAAGGCAAATGTGCGATCTCCACTGGCGAGCAAATCGAGCAACAGAAGAATCGGGACTAAACACAACGCGATGCTGTTGGCTGGATGTTTCGGGGTTTAGGGGTTAAGGGCTTTGGGCTTTGGGCTTAGGGGTTTATGCTTTGGGCTTAGGATTTCTTTAAAAGTGTTGGATACGTCCTTAAGGGCTCCAGCTTTGCCGTTAGCCTGCTGGTATAGGGGGCTGCCAGAGGGATTCTGCAGAAAGGAATCCAGTGCCCCACGGAACCCGAAACCTGGTGGATCTCAATTTGAACGGTGCGCACTAGTAGTCTTGGGTTTAGGATTTAAGGTTTAGTGTTTAACTTACTATAATGGAAACAACAGCTTCGCTATCCTGCACGGCCTTTCCTGCAGCCGCAGTAGTAACAATAGTAGATTGCATAGACAAGGGTAGGATTGAACCGCACCGAAGAGTAGCTGGCTAGTATTTCGTGAAAATGCGGTGCTAACAGGAATAAAGAACTTGAGAGCAAAAAATGAAGCAATGACAAAGACAGTAATCATCCCCGTCGTAGTCATACTGATGAAAAGCTTCCAAACCCTAGACCCGTAGACCCTATAGACTCTGGACCCTCAGCCAAGAACCAGCTACTGAGTCGAGGTCCCTCAAGCGAAAATGCTCCGTCGTAGAAGTGGTTCAAGGTTCATGTGGCTTCACATAGCAGACTGAGCAATGCCGTAAACATAGACTTCTGCTTCCGGGAGGGCCTCATGTTCAAGGATTTGTGTTGTTTCTTGAAGGCCTTCTCTGGTGCAATGCTACGTGTAGTCACGAGGATTTCGGGCAGCGTGGGCATGAGGGCAAATTGAAAGGTTTGGGGAGGCTCGGGTGCTTTCACGGCCTCCTCCATCGAGTGTGCTTTTTGGGAGTGTTTAGGGTTTGGGGGGTTCCACATTTGGAGGCTTCACAGGGATGCGGGTGAGTGAGTCATGCCACCTGCGTGTGGCGTTAACTTAACGCCCCAAGGTCTTGCAACAAAGCCTGGATGAATTTCAGTTGCCGGGAGAAGGAACCACAGCGAGGGGCAAGTGGCAAGATGCCGCCATGCATTGGAATCGATTTTTCACAAAGCGGAGGGTAGATGCCATGATCTTGTGCACCGACGAGCCCTGAATGTAGTTTGCGTGGGCATGTCTAACCCACGATGAATTCCAAAGCAGCACAAGCTGGCACTCTTGCATACACATTACACTCATTCCACAATTATCGACATTGCGGGAGCTAAGTCCAGAAGAGGTAACATTGGCCATTCACAGGGGAGCCACCGTCATCGTGGCAGTCACAGGCAATGTTTCCGGGATGGAGAATTTCTCTGTCGATTCTCCTGGCCAGCACGATGCGAAAGAACTGAACCATGTCGGTGTTTCGCTGACATTTTCAATCATGGAGCTTCCGATTCTTGCGAATCTATTGATCCACTCTGGGAGGGCTTTCACCTTCAAGCGGTGGCAGAAGTCCTCTGCGAAGTGAATGCAATTGCGTTGGAGGACGTCGTAGGACTTACCAGGGTAATCCTCGACAATGTCCCTGATCATGGCGTTGTACTCCGTCTGGGACAACTTTGTGTACCCCAAGCAGATCGTCTCCCTGTAGCTGTGCAGGGGGTCCTGTCGTGGTGGGATGCCAAACACGCCGGGCTTTGTTGCGCTCAGCGTCTTCCCAAAAGCCCACTCTGTGCTGCCGACTTGCACTCCCACATGAAAAATGCCACCCAGCTTCACTGGCACCCACCAGTGTGCGAAAACTGCATTGAACAATTTCACAGCATCGCTCCTTGTCACATCATAGACGTTAGCGTACACCGGGTAAAGCTTCTGATCATCCACATGCGCCATGTTCGCGCTAAGATGCAGTAGCGGTCACTAGCGGTCACTAGCGCCAGCTCATCAAGACTATGTCTGACATGCATGCATGCATCTGTACATACGTATATGTACATACATACATATATATATATATATATATACATATGTATTTATGTATATATTGTAGTTCTATGTATTCAGGTACTGATTTGGATGTTCATTTTAACTACATAAGCGAAACAGGAAGTAAATCAAGCTTAGGTATCTGTTCGAGACACTACAAGAGATAGTGATAAAGACACGTAAGTAGGTAGATATATAAGACGATGGCTAAAGGACGAAGAGATGAATGATATCGAAGAGAGGCTCTCAAGCTTGGATTTTGAGCAGTCAATCTAGCTGCCTACTGAAGGGTCTTAAGTTGAAGACTCGCCGTGTCCCTGTCCTCAGCCACCGGGAAAGCCGCTGACCTTGAGACGCACGGCCGGCATCAGGGCCTGCGTGACAGCACGGAGGAGTCTGAGGCTGGAGCTGGTCTGCTCCCGGCGCAACAAAGTGCGCCTGCAGGACCATCACTTGCCGACACGTGGCACAAGATGCGTCGAAGCCGCCTGTGCCGTGACCTGTAGGTCCACATCCTTCAAGTGAAAGGACAGTCAGAGGAGTCCCAAAGACCGAAGCAATGCCTCTGTCCTCGATACCACGCAAGCGCAGCTGATTTTCGGTCTGGAGCAATTGCAGCCGCTGCTGCTCAACCAAGGAATGCCTCAGCTATGACTCATGAGAGGCAGCGGCTGAAGCGGCTGAGGCTACGCTGCACCAGGACGAGAGGAGTCCCCGGCATGGTCTTGAGGCGCTCCATCTCAGAGCCTTGAGCCGTTCGTTCTTCCTGCACCGGCCACTACGCCACCTCGCCACTACGATGTCCTACATCCCGGAACCACCATCGCCTGCAGCTGGCCACGAAGAAGTTGCAGCTCAGCTCTGGCCTTGCGCAGAGTCTCCCAAGGCCTGTCCCTAAGCAGCCCCTTTCGGCACCTCTGCTGCTTGGTCATGCAGCGCCCGAATCTCCTCGGAACGCCTCTCAGTGACGGAGTTCCGATGGTCTCGTGAGATGATCGAAACCTCACTGTCTGGATCCGTCTGGCCTTTCAACCTCGTGGGCCATCAGGCCCATGCTTTGGAGGTCGCTCTCCAACTGCTCCTTCTCCTGTGTTCGGAATGGCCAGACTGCGTTGCCAGTGGCTGCAGAATCCCACTACCTGAAACCTGAACCCTAAAAGTCGATGGGTCGACATACCAGAAGTCGCAACAGGTTCTCAAAAGAGTACCTGCAGGATACCAAGACGTTACGATAATATTAAGGGATGGGCTCAGCCCACGAAATGCAGTCGCGCAATGTCCACGGCCTCTTGGAAGGTTTTGCGGTCTGTTTCCAGCTTCATCGCCTGGGCACCCGAGCCATTTAGCGATCCCACCACAGCAAAGGTATGAACGGGGGGCCCACTTCCTGCGCGTGGAGACGGCGTCTCTCCTCGAAGACCTCCAAGTCGTTCATGAGGCAACGTCCTTTGAAGAAGTATATGGTTGCAGCGCGGCCTTTGAACCAACAAGCCTTCAACTCCAGCGGTCAAACGGCGATCAAGCTCTTTTGTACGCTTCGCATCACTTCAACAAGTCTGTCGTAGCATGTTTCAATCGTGAAGCCTCTAGAGCTCCACCGCAGCACACCTTTGAACTCCGCGTGTGAACTTTATGTCGTTCTAGTAGCGGCTGCTCAAGTACAGAGAAATCATGTCACAGAGCATGCATGCTTGCACAGTCTTCGCAACGCATGTCTTGCAAGCTCTGCAAGACTTCCTCCCAGTACTCGATCACGTCTTGCCACAATCTCACCTGCTCCTCCTCCTCCTGCTCCTCCTCCTCCTTCCCCCGATCCGCCTCCGAGCTAGACGTACCTGCCGCGACATGAGAGCTGCGGGCGGGAAAGCCTGTCCCACGGCCTCTGCCTGACTGAGAAACTTGTGCACAGGTGGCCGAAGTCAGAACATCGCGGAACTGCCGAAAGGCTTTTCTGCCACGAACATGAAGGCAGGACCGTACAGGCGCTGCGCCAGTCACAGCGTCGTCTTGCGGTGTAGGCGCCAGAGATGCCCCAGGCCTGTCACCCAGACATCGCCACCTCAGTGGATTTCAACTGGACCTTCACAACAGAGTCTCGGGCCGTCGGGCACTCACCCGGCCCAACGAGGAGTCAAAAGCCGAGGTGCCATCTCCGAAGGTCAGGTTCGATACGTTGGTGTGGAAGATCACCTTACAGGGGCCAGGCCAGGCCCGCTAGGCCCACTTGGCCCACTTCACTAGGCCGCTGCTAGGCTTGCGAGCCAGGGACCGACTTGCAAACATCTCCCCCGGCCTTTGCGACAACATGGGGCTTTGGCGGCTTAGGATCAAGGATGCAGAGACCAGCAGGCATTGAGGACCAAATCAGCCCCTGGTCATCAATCTTGAAGCCATCGGAGACGCCTTTTCCAGGCATCTCGCCTAAGTAATAAACCGGGGTCGAGACGGAGTCGTGGCCAGACTGCTCAGTTGTGCCTTCGCTCAACACCATGACCGGCTTGAGCGGCAAATCGTCGCTAACTGCAAAGGCCGTCCAGCTTGCTGTCTTTTTGTTGCTGTTTGCGACCCACAAGAGCTCGCCATCAGGCGAGAAAGCCAGACCATTCGGACGGTCCAGGATGTCTGTCACAAGCTGGATCTCCTGCAGCATCCGCGACGGGATCGTGAAGCACCCAGACTATGCCCAGACTTGGAATTTCGAGAACTTCAGCTAACGTTCGCCAAGTTGCGTGCGAACCCACCCCTTTACGACCAGATCAGACGAGGAGGCGGAGAAGTAGGGCATCAACAGAAAAAAAAAAAGCATTTGGTATGAAACCCTCATTAGACAGAGGCTGAGGAGCTCCATCTTTCCAGCGGTACACACCCTTGTGGTCCGGGCCCTCTGCTTTTGCGCAGTCGTCAAGGTACGGCAGGTCACAGGGATTGTGATCCTCGGGCTCGGACTCGGAGCCCTCCGGAAGCCTCGGGCCGAAGGACTCCGATGCCTTGCGGAGGAAACCGTAGATGGGATCCGTGAACCACACCTCAGTGCACAAGGATCCTGGGGCCTCCAAAAACACTTTCGCTGCTATTACACGCAGAAAAGGAGAAGAACCTCTCTACAGGTCATGCACCTTAGACATGGAACAGAACGCATGCAAGAAGCGCTCTTCCCATCGGGCCCCACGATGACGTCGTTTGGCGAGTTCAGCCTGGTCCCACGGAAAGCATCTGCCACAACCGTGAAGTTGGTCTCGCAGAACTTTGCTCCAGGCACGATGTTGGGGATGTCCACTTTGACAACACGGCGCGTCGCATGCTGGCACAGAAACAGAGCGTCTCCTTGCAGGGCCATGCCGTTGCTGCCGGGTTCGAATAGAAGCTCGTGGTCGCGTACATTCTGGCCATCGAAGCCTCCGGACTGCTCCATCCAAACGCTGACACCGTGCGGAGTCCAGCAGTAGACACGTGCGTCAATGGTGTCGGAGAATAGCAAGGCACCTTGAGAAGGCAGCCATGTCGGCCCTTCCGTCCAACGGAAACCAGATGCGACGATGTCGACAGAGCGAGCCATCAGCACTCTATCGATGTCACCGACGTAAGCGACCTGTGACCGATGGCTTGCAGATCAACATTAACACTAAACTAACACGTTCCAAACTGCAGCTTTTCCCGGCCTTTTGGGGATCGAAGACACCCCATCGGCTTCCATCAGCCAGAAGCGTGCCAGATGCATCAGGTGCAAAAGCACTAGATTGCCCAAGCCCCATCGTCACATGCGCCAAGGCAGTGCGCAGAAGCTGCGGACCGGAGAACACTTCGAGCAGCGGACGGAGGCTAATTCAGGTGATGTTCTGCTGGAAAGGAAAAAGACCAGGCCGCCGAGGCCGCTGCGCTCGTTCGCCACCGTGGACTCCGTGTCCCGGATCCGGCGCGCAGCGCTCTGCCGCGCCACCTCGGAGCAAAGTGGAACTCGAGAGCCGCGGCACGCGCTGCGGTGCGCAGGCACTGCTGCACTGGCGCCGTGCCTCGATCTGCTGGTGCAAGGACTTCAGCCTCTCCGTCTCGGCTTTCAGGCGATGTTCCTTGCTCAAGACACTCGGGGGGCGGATCATGGCGGAGCTGCACACCCCGCGGCCTGCACGTCCAGCTCCTCTCTTCTCGAGTTCAGCCTCGGTCCGGTCCGGTGACCGCTGCTCTTCAGAGTTGTGCGGCCCGTTCTGGGGTGTTGCAGTCGTCTTAGTGAGGCAGAGGCTCACTGTCCAAGCGGAGCTGCTGCTCCTGCAAAGTCCTCCGCTCCTCTTCCACCTGCCCCCCACCAGCAGCCACGCTGAACGCTTCACGAGAGAGTGCAACAGATCTCGAAGCTTCGTCTTCAACTTCTTCAGCAGGTGTTGCAGCTGCCTGGGCCCAAGCGTGCTTCATCGCCTCCTTGTTGTTTCGGTCAGCCTGTGAGCGGCTTCACCAACAAGTAACTCCTACGCTCTCCCCGACGTCGATGCGTGAAAGACCCCGCTGACAGAATGCATTTCCTTTTCAGCTTTTGTGACAGGGACCCGTACTCAGAGCAGGTTGTTGCGCCCAAAATCATGGGTTAAGGTTGAATCCATAAGCACATGTTTCGCCAGACATGCTGACTTCAAAGCCAAAAACGGATATAACCGCTACTTCGAAAAGGCTCGCGACAAGTATGCTGCATTCAGCTCTCCATGCCTTAATACTCTTCATTATCTCTGCACTCGGGATTCTGAACCTTCGGGTCCTACTACTACGCCCTTTCTTTGAGAAGCTTAGCAAGCTCATGAAGCAGAAACAACTACTGGACTGTCACTGCAGACTCAAACCCTCATTTCCCTGCCGCTCTGTGCAACAACTGACAAACTGAGACTCGAACATCACGCACACTTTGCTGCAGATCCAGCAGACGTTGATGCTCCGCCTGCTGCATTGCAACCGCTGCCAGCGCAGGGTCTTGTACAAACTCGTCTGGTCCAGAACAACTTCGCTGCGGGCCTGAAGACGCTCTCGGTCGGCAGCCATGGCGGTACTATCGTCTTCCTGACAAGACTGTCCGACTCCAGCAACATTAGCGTGAAGCGGAGCGGCACTGTCATCACAACACAACTCCTGAGAAGACCTCAAGTTCGTCACCATCTCAGACCTCGGGGATGAAGATGGATGAAGCGCTGAAACTGATCGAAGCTGATCATGGCAGTCGGATGCAATGCCGGATTCGCCGGATGCTGTGGAAGCGGCAGTCTTCTTCGCTGCTCCTCTACCTCCTTGCCCTGGCGAGAGAGCTGCGCCTTGCAACAGGCACTGCCAGATTCCGTGCATGGCAGCATGCAAAAGATTGGAGGGCAAAGAGCTCATCTTCATTCGAGTTCTTGATGTCTCTGGGTTACATAGTGAAAGAGGGCTGGCGAACCAAGGTCTCATCGAAGGATGAAAGCTTTCACTTCAGCGAGCCAACGCTCCCCCTGTTTCCCTCGTCTTTCTGGCCCCATCACCGCCTCCAACTCACGCGCGTTCTTCTCTCTTGCCTCCAGCTGCCTCTCGCGAACCGACCTGGCCGACAACTACAGTCGGAAGATCCGCGTGCTTTCTGAGCTTTGCTGTATGATTTATTGCTTTGCTATTCACGTCTTTCAATGCTCAAGACTCGGCAGCATGACCACTCCAAAGTTTTGTCGGAATCCACGCGTTTGCCTGTGTGGGCAGCTGTTTTGGCTCCAGTGAATGTTGCCACGTTGCCACTGATAAGACCTGTTAAGCTCTGGACTGAGTCGCTCTACTTCAGCCACGGAACCCTGTACCTGGCCCACATGCCACTGCGTCCCGAAAAGTTAGGGGAAGCATTCTGCGCAACCTGCTCCACGAGTTTCGTGAGATGGTGCTCTCCGGTATGTGCCCGGCGGAGGCTCTCTGCCTGTTCATTGCACGCGTCCGCCACACAATGCTCCGCTCGGAAGTCCTCGACGTCGGACTGCTGCTTCAGGATGGAAACGGAACGCTCGTGCTTCCGCTTCTGCTCCTTGCGTTAGGAATCACCACAACTATGACTCATCTGAGGCTGTCGAGGCCTCCATCTCCAGTCGGCAGTCGGCTTTCACCTACGAGAACTCATCTCACAACATTCTATGTACCTTGCAACCCCTGCACGTTGAAAGTGAGACTGGAGACTGGTGTGACAGGCCTTGTCGATGTCTGCCTGCGCCTGGTCAGGCAGCAGATGCATCAAGCGCAATGTGCGAAGCGAAAGTTCATGTGGGATGAGCAGGCTACGGGTCCCAAGTCCCAAACTAGGGAGGGAAGCCGACTCGGCAAAATGTCCGCGTTGCACAACATTGTTATCGGTAGGTTCAAGGCAACCGTTTAGGGTTCAGCTTGCCTTCCGTCGTTCTTCGCGCTTTGCATCTTCGACTTCCGTCGTATGACCTTCGGGTGGGATTAGCGTTCGCAGCTCTCGCTGTGAAAACTCTGGGTGCTGCACTTTGGACAAGAAGTCGCTTCTGCTCTTGAAAGTGTCGCATCTCGCTGGCGTGCACCTCCTGGCACAGATGCTGTCTCATCACTGGACACTGACCCGGGGCATTAGTTCGATGTTTTGCTCCTTGCATCTGTCGAGCTCAGCTTCCAGGTATCGGCACTGCAACTCCATACCTGAAGTCAACACCACGAGAGCGCGAACGACACGCGAGAGAGGCTTCGAGTCTGCTCGAGGGCCCAACGCGCATGCCCGGCGTCCTCCTGGCGCTTCGCATCCTCAAAGCGCCGCTGCCAGCGTTGCTCGCAGTCCTGACAGACCCGACAAAGAACCGAAGCGAAGCCATGCCAAGCGCGAAGCCTCGAGCTGCAGCTCCAGGTGCTTAACCTTCCCAACCAAACAAGATAAAACGAGACTCAAGGCAAAGAAGCTGCTGCAACTCCGGCGAGTTTCGGCTCCTTGCCTTCGCCTTAGCCTGTGCCAGTTGCAGCAGCCTGGACTGTGTGCACAACCGGTGGGCTACGTCTACGAAGTGCGAAAGATTCACCCGAGTTTCTGACAGATCGTGCGAAGGCGCACCGCCAAGAGGCGGGCCAGCCGGAAAGCTTGGGCCTCCCAATGCCTCGACAAGACAGCTTGACTTGCTTGGCTGAGCCTGGACACGCCTCGACTGAAGTTTCTGGGCTGCACGCGCCAGGATCAATTGCGAAGGACAAGTCCCTTTCTGAGGGCGGAGTGCTGATGCCGCCCTTGGGCGTTGGCCCTTCTGCCCTGAGTTGAGACAGAAAGAGTGCTTGGATGTGCCACCAGGATCTGAGTTTGAAGAGAAGGCTAGGATGCGAGCATGTGGGGCAGAAGCACCGCCCCAGCAGACGGCACAGGTGTCACACGTACCTGCCATGGTGAGACAGTGTTTTTCGGCATTCCGGTCGCTATGAGGCAGCGGACCGAAGGGCCCGAGGCCTGATGCTCTGCTTGCATGGTGCCACTGCGCGGCTCATACCTCCTCAATCTGCAAAAAGCAGAGGGGGGTTACCGAAGGCAACTCACTCCAAGTGTCGAGCGCTGGCTCAGCTGCAGCACGTGGCACCTCGGTGAACAAAGGATCCATCAGTGAGACTTCCTCGGTCCGTGAGATGTGGTGAGCATGTAGGAGTCTGCGAATCGAGGAGGTGAAACTCAAGGGAGATTTGCCTATCAGATCAGCAGGGCCCAGAAGACGCTCACCAGCGAGCGATTGCTGTGTAGGCCCCAGTTCTTCACATTACATCGCCCTGCCATGGAAACTGGCCGGGAACAGAAGCACGTCGGTGTGTTAGATACGGCTACGGATGCAGCTCTTTACTCCGCTGTCGTCGAGGTCAGTCCTTACTTGTTTGAGCAGGGGGTAGTATCGCTGCGTGCTCTTCGCCATGCCTTACAACTACGACTGGGAACCGACCTGTACCACAGGCGGTCGGACATAAACGTTTTGCTGAACAGTTCTTCCTGCAGCAGACGGCAGGTTATGGTATCATGAAGCTGTCTGGCCACGAGCTGGCACAACTGCGCGATCCATACAGTGGTGAGTGTGAGCCTCGTTGTGACTCAGCTTTCGGTGATTATGGTACTTACCACCGGCGCGGAAGGCAACTTAACACCCAGCTCTCGGATGAAATCTGTCTTTCGGTGCGTTGGCGAGGCATTTAGGAGCCTGTTAGAAGGCAAGTAGTGTTGAACCCTTCGCGCATGGAGGATACGGCCTCGACGGGCCGTGGCCCCAAGCCGAGCGATCTTAGCATGAAGGTCACTACCGAGACGCCTGGCACGGAAACACATGTGGGGATCGGCAGTGTATGTTGGGAGCTCTTCTGCCTCGAGCATGGTATGTGTCAGTGGCCTTACGACAAGCTTGGCGATTGGCATGTTACCTCCAATACATCGTTCAGGGAGACCGTTGCTTTTCAACATTTCCCTCCTGAACCGATCTTTGCGGAGAAGAAATCCGCAGCACAGAACATCGATCTTGGACGTTATGCGAGTGTGGGAAAGATCGCAGAAGCGATCCTTGGTCGAGCCGGGCAGCTCATCGGCAACTGCATGGGGCTTCAAAGATCTTGCATGTGCGGTGCTTGCGGAGGTGGCCTAGGTCCTTGCTCGGCATGCACTTGGCTGGAGCATCTGGTGCTGCGAGAGTGTTGTACGAGCAGGTCCGCAGCGCTGCGATGTGACGGAGCTTTGAAGGTAGGCAGAATCGAGTTCCAGAGGAATCTTGTGCCGCCATTTCCCTGCTGTCGTACCTCCTTTGACCCAGGTGGTGTGACGGATTGCCAGTCGTAGGTTCATGCGGCGTCCCTTTCAGGCATTCGTGGTTGATCATGGTGCCGTGATGGGGGTCTCGCTCTTTTGGTTTTGTTCCTTTGCTGTTAAGGGACGGCTTTTTCGGGCTGAGCCTGGCCGGGTAAATCCCTTTCACGGCCCGGTAGCCTGCGTCGGGCAGATTTCTGCGCCGTGGGTATGCCAATATGGCTTCATCCACGAGTGCATACTGCTTGCGCGGCTACAACTTTTGCATTCTTTGCTGAATTCGCATGCTAGTGGTACGTTCGCTTCGGACTTTGCACCACCGGAATAATAATATCAGATCAGCCGCACCAGTTTCAACGTTTGTAAGATGACTACCGTTCCTTGCCCAACATGCCCTGCTGCTGTCCATTTGCCATGACTCTGTCGAACAAGGCATGCTCAATCCGCTCCGGCTTCCACTCTGCCCGTAGCTTGAGTTTACTGACTGATTACTCCTTTATTATGTGCCCGGTCCAGCACCTCCGCCAAACATCTGCGTTGCTTCATCGAACTCAGCTTGCGGCAGGCTGGGACTGCGTCGCCTGTGGAGAATGAAGCCGGCCCTGACGATGCAACTTCAAATCTGGCCTAGCGCTTTAGTGCCTGTGTCTGGCAACTGTTGTAACAAGAGCACGAATTAGCGATAAAACGCCTCTTAAAAAGAGAAAGCGCAAAGGACAACCCTCTGAAAAAGGGCCGGCAGATTGCCAGTGGCCGCCTTGCAGAGCCAACGCAACGAGCCAAAGAATCTGTCTCAGGTCACGAGAAACCCCAACTCAAACTCCATGAGTTGCTTCTACTGTAGCCCTTTCTAGCTCCTTAGAACTCTCCCTAACTGCTCAACTCCACAAACGGACGCAGCATGACGGAGAGCACCTGGGCCTCGGAGCCGCTCGCCAGTCTGCTCTTGGCCTCCAGCAAAGGACGACTTCGCGGACCGCATGGCGCGCGGCGACGCACAGCGACGCGAGACGACGACGAAGAGGGAGCCAAAAACACCAACGAAGCTGCAAGACCTTCTCCTCTTCTCCCGGCCACACTCATTCGACAAACCCTACCATGTCCAGGCCTTTGCCACAGCGACGGACTCGCCAGCACGCTGGGGCTGCAAAGCGGGACGACAAGCGGTAAGGCTTCCGCTTTAAAGACAAGCCGTCGGTCTGTCTTGGGTCAGACCTCCTAATTAGTTACCAGTAGGACAACTCGACAGACAGCTCAGCAGAGTTCAGCTGAAAAACCCGCGTCGACCTGCATGGCGGAGCCAGTGCTTGGCGGTACCTGAGCAAACTGTTCTGACAGCTCTCGCCTGTGCAACCCGTGAGTGTGTAAGCTGCGCGCCCGCCGGCTCCCTGCAGAGCTCGGAGGACTCTTTGCGGGCCTCCACGCTCCGGAGGACTCTACAATGCTCTACGATCTTAAAGCAAAGCCACGCAAGAAGTCAAAAAAACCACGCAGGTCTCAGTCTCGAACGTGGCACTTTGGCCGGGCACGCTGTTGCCACTTGCGGCGCTTCCTCGCAGGCGCGTTCGCTGCGCACCAACTGTAACTGAACAGAGTAGTCTGGTGCATCAATCAAGCAGCGCCTGCCCGAACGCTGCCCGCCCCACGTGGCTGAGGGACCTGGCACGCGGAGGCGAAC